CTGAGAGAAAATGACTACCTCTTGATTCATTCATGCCGGCAATGGACCACAATTACCGCCCATAGCCTAGAGGAGGGCCATTATGTCATCGGACCGAAAATCGAGATCCCTGTCCATTATGAGGGTAAGGCCACTCAGTTGTTGTAGTGCAGCATGTACTGTATCTAGAAATGTTTTTAGTTCTTTCTGACACTATGTATTTTCAAAAAGAAGGCAAAAGAAAGAAAAGTTAGTCTGCTAAGATTCACTGTTTTCTTGCTACTTATTAAAACAGAAGTAGCAAAAATGTGCTGCTGTATTTCCCATCTGCTTTTAGTTGGAGTGCATTAGCTAATTGGTCTCTTCATAATTGACATTCCTCTGGCTATGGAGAGGGTCCAGTTGGCCACTTAAGGAAAAAAGACCTTCCTTTGAATTTGGATTTAGTTCACACAGACCTAGCAAACTGTCTATTTTATGTACTTATTGCACTGTTGCAGCATTTTTAGATAATTTGGCAAAAAGTTTTTTTTTTTTTTTTTCAGTTCAACGTGCCCAAATTGAAATAATTACTTTTATTTCTTTACTTTGAACTGAAATGGCCAAACAACATCTACATGAAATGATGTATATTTTACTTTCTTTTTTTTTTTAAAGTAATGTATATATAATATGAAAGCATGGCAATGATGTCATGAGGTTACAAAATTGCTCTGTTTGCTGTTTGTTACAGGCCAGTTTAAGCTGCTGGAGCAGGACAGGGACATTAAGGAGCCAGTCCAGTACTTTAACAGCGTGGAGGAGGTGGCCAAAGCATTCCCTGAGCGAGTTTATGTCATGGAGGAAATAACCTTCAATGTCAAGGTCTGGTTTTGTGCTTGCAGCAGGCACTGTTTTTGATTTAGACCCCCTGCACTAATGTATCTTAGTATTGGTATAACCTAATATGCCTTAATCAGAATGGTTCTCAGGCATTGTGTGTGTAATGTGAAATATCTATTCAACATTTAAAAATTTATAGCAGTCCAAGGTCTTCTGTAATACTTGCATTATTTAGAATACATTTTTAGTTTAGCTGTTCAAATTGCTTTCTTCATTCTCCCAGATGGCGTCAGGAGAATCCAATGAGGACATGGAAGTGTACAACATCACGCTGAGCACTGGGGATGAGCTGACACTAATGGGCCAGGCTGAGATCCTCTATGCCAAAACATCAAGAGAAAAGTCACGCCTCAACACAATCTTCAAACGCATCGGCAAGCTTAACTCCATCAGTAAGCATGGCCGCGGAAAGATGCCCTGCCTTATCTGCATGAACCACCGCACCAACGAGAGCATCAGCCTGCCTTTCCAGTGCCGCGGTCGCTTCAGTACCTGCTCCCCACTGGAGCTACAGATGCAGGAAGGAGAACACACTATTCGCACAATTGTGGAGAAGACCAGGTTACCTGTGAATGTCATGGTGCCCAGCAGCCCGCCACGTAATCCGCATGACCTCCATTTGATCCGTGAAGGCCACCGATACAAGCTGGTCAACATCCAGACCAAGACAGTGGTGGTGTGTTGTGCATTACGTTCGAACAAATTACTGCCAGTGCACTTCCCTTTGCACGTGTCCACAGCACTGCCTCGTCTACTGGTGCCTGAAGGGCTGCTTCAAGGAGAAGCCTGGCTGGAGACTGTGGTCCACCGCTGGTTTGCTTACTGCCAGGAGCAGTTCGACATTGACGACTACTCTAGGGCAGTCCGTGATGTGCGGGTGGATTGGATTGAGGATGGCAAAAGCCCGAAAAAAAGTAGCGCAGGTGGAACAGGAAGTGGGAGTGCCATCTGCAACCGCAGCGAAAGCGATGGCTGCCCCTCGCATGTGAATTTGCCAAGTTCTCTAAGCTCAGCCCGAGATGAGCTCACACAGTCATTTCATCGCCTGTCTGTCTGTGTCTACGGTAACAATCTCCATGGGAACAGCGAGGTGAATCTTCAGGGTTGCGTTAGCTTATGTGGAGATTGTGTGCCAGCAGAACCTCCGGATGCAGATTATCTGTTCCCTGAGCTGCAGGAGAGTTCTTCTGGCTCCCTTAAACCAGATGTGCCATACGAGGAACTTTGGTTGGATCATGTTAAGAACCCTGGATGTGTGCTAGACCACATCGAGGGTGTCCAAAATTCAACTGTCTCTGGCTGCACGACTGTACTGCCATACCCCACAGCAGGCCCCACAAACGCCTTGCTTGGTGCAGATGCCAATCTACCTCCACCTCCGGTGCCTCCAAAGTCTGAAGCTGTGAGTTCATTTATACTAGATGAATCTTAATATTCTGAATCAAAATTATTTTTAAAAATCCTTAACCAGTAAAACTCACACTACTGGAAGAATCACTGCTTGAACTACTGCTCGAATGGGAACCCTGATATCAAGTTTACATTAAAGTGTTTGTAGAAATCCTCATTCATTGATTCTCCAGATTTTTATCTGTTCCCTGAGCTGCAGGAGAGTTCTTCTGGCTCCCTTAAACCAGACGTGCCGTACGAGGAGCTTTGGTTGGATCAAGTTAAGAACGCTGGATCTGTGCTAGACCACATCGAGGGGGTCCGAAATTCGACTGTCTCTGGCTGCACGACTGTACTGCCATACCCCACAGCAGGCCCCACAAACGCCTTGCTTGGTGCAGATGCCAATCTACCTCCACCTCCGGTGCCTCCAAAGTCTGAAGCTGTGAGTTCATTTATACTAGATGAATCTTAATATTCTGAATCAAAATTATTTTTTAAAATCCTTAACCAGTAAAACTCACACTACTGGAAGAATCACTGCTTGAACTACTGCTCGAATGGGAACCCTGATATCAAGTTTACATTAAAGTGTTTGTAGAAATCCTCATTCATTGATTCTCCAGATTTAAAAAAAAATCCATGATTTTAAGGTTATTTGTCTGTTTTCCACTCTCAGATGGGGCAAAGTTTATTCTGGACTTACATAGTGACTTATTTGTGTACTCTGTTGGTCAGTCACTACAGGTCTAATTATTTTCCAAGTAGGAGTAAAGGTTACATTTCGTATGTTTTCAAGGTCTATTTGATCAATTTGCACAGCCTGTCAAGAAATCTGTATCTGTTCATTCACTCCCCCAATAAAGTAATTGTAATATTCACATTTCTAGAGCCATACCGTTTTTTTGTTGTTGTTGCCTTTGCAGGTGAAGGAGGAGTGCCGGTTGTTGAATGCTCCACCGATTCCACCGCGGAGCTCCAAGCAGGCAGGCTCAAGCAGTGCCACAGCGCCATACCCTCCTGCCAAGCCACATCAGACAGAAACCCGCTCCCCAAGCCCAACACTATCCTATTATTCATCCGGCTTACACCACATGTGAGTTATGCATTGTTTTGATTGACAAAATGGATATTGGTTTTATGTGAACTGCGCTACTTATGACTGAACGATCCTCTTCTTCCTTCCCTCAATAGAGGTGGAGAGGGTGAGTCTCAGAGTGAGTCAGATGATCAGAACCATGCATGTTACCCATGTAACTGGATCAGACCAGATGCCAGTAAAGGCTCCAAGCCTCACCCTTGCCTCAATCCTTCGGTCAATGCCTCTTTCTCCCGCCTTTCCTGGCCAAACGATTTCTATGGTGCAGACTCGTATAAAGGTGAGGACTTCCCGACGATCCACTGCCGGAGTTATTCTAGTTATCCTCGGAAGAAGACCCCTGGTACTCCTAAGGCTTGTCCCTCAGGTTTGTTAGACTTCAACAGGCGAGCAAATGGTGAGGGGGGCGCTTCGGCCTCCAAGGCTCAACAGATTTCCCAGTCTGCCCAGTTTTGCACCAAATCCACCAGCTACACCATGGAAATGTGCAGAGACAAATCCACAGAGGAATGTAACACTAAGCAAAACCAGTCCTGCCCTATCTTGCCTCCAAGACCCCATAAATGTAACGATACAAAGAAAGATGCAGATCCCGCTACTACAGTCACAACTGATGTGGATGCTCTGGAACTTGAGTCCAAAAGCTGCTCGCTCGATCGACCGCATCACGGCACTACAGATGTGTTTCCCATTTCGTATCCTGTAGCTACAGGGTTGTCTTGGCAACCACCAAGCAATCTATCAGGTATCTCCATTGAGGAGGTTTCTAAGTCACTACGGTTCATTGGTATGTCAGATGATGTTGTCTCTTTGTTTGTGCAAGAAAAAATAGATGGAAATTTGCTCCTGCAGCTAACCGAGGAGATTCTGTCAGAAGACTTTAAGCTAAGCAAACTTCAAGTGAAGAAACTCATGCAGTTTATAAATGGCTGGAGGCCCAAAATGTAAGGCTGAACAAGCAAGTCAGTCCAGAGCAAAACACATGCAACGTGCTGGAGCGATGCAGCCGTAAATATTGGCCTTCAGTATTGCATTAGACAGTTTTGTATCTCAATGCTATGCAGTCTTGTAATGATTTTAATAGCCATTTTGTTTAATATATACATGTGTATATAAATCTATATATTAATTGCTTTGTGTATTAACCTGTACCCATCTATGTAATCTCTGACCTTATGGTACCTGCTCAACAGACTTTTATTTGCTCAAACCCAAAGCCTTTGAAAAACCTGAAGATATTTTGACCCAAACTGTGGCCTACGTTTCTTTGGTTGTTGATCAATAAAGATGATTGACTTGATTAGGTGGTTTTTATTACTTGAACAAATCTTTTTTGGTTTATCATTTTGAGAAATAATATTTGCACCTTATTCAAATTAAGCTATCCTTTACCAAGTTGTGACACCAAACACGGTGGTAATCACACTAGCTCACTTTAGATGAAAATGCTCCCAGCAACATAATCTTTACACTAGTGATTAATGAAGGCTGATGTGTCCAAAAATAAAAGTGGAGAGGATGAAGAGTCAACAATTTCATATCAGATTACGTTGACTTTGTATACTTAAGTATGACAATTTTGACATGTATACATGCTTTATTTGATGACTAGTTTCCTTCAAAGCAGTGCAATGGAATATGACAACTGTGTTGTACAGTTTTCACAACTGTGTTGTTGAGTTTATCAACGCAAGGTCTGTTTAGTTAAATCTATAGTATCTAGCAGAACATTACTACAAAACCGTGTCATATGACAGCAGTTGTGGTTTTGAAAGCCTGGTCTTCACACTTTGAAAAAGGGGTTGAAAAAAAAAACACATGAACTTGTTTCATTGTTACCCACTATTTGGTTCAAACCCATGGTTCCCAGCCTATTCACACCCTGCCCAGTATATTGGGGTCTGTTGCCTGATCGAGCAAGCAGTCTACCTGATCTTCAACACTCAGGTCTTTCTCATTGTGTCGAGCTCGTATGTTGTGCTCTTTTTCTCGCCTCGGGCAACAGTCAACATTTCCTTATATTCTGGGGTCTTCTCAAATCCAAGACAGAGCTCCTCACTAAAACATCAACAAACCAACATGGTTAGAAATGTGTTTTCTGGAAATTACAACTGGTATGTTTTGTCATCCGTAAAACTATTCTGAAGTCTTCACAAGAATTAGGAAAAAAACTATATTCATTTAATGCAAGTGGTTGAACTTAATTACAAATGATCATGATATGCTGCCAATGTAAGTGTTAAATGGTCATGTATATTTGCCAGAAATCCACAAAAATGAGAGTTGTGTGGTTGGATCTACCTACCTTGTTATAACCGAGGGATTGGCTCCCTCTAGCTTCCGGCAAGCAAAGTTGACCTTCTGTAGAGGGAACCAGTTTATTTTTTTGGTGGTCACACTCTCTGTCCAGGTACCTCTTTTCTTCAGCTGCCTCAGCTCAAAGTTCTGTAACATGAGAAATAGTGCCGTTGTCTTTCACAATTCAGTTAGCCTGTCTCTTTGATAATGACTCGATGTCTAAGCCTCAATTCTTAGGTGGGGAAAAATGGAAAATGTTAAACAGGTCTACAATGAGGGCAGATCACTTTGATGATTACATTGAGGGCTACATGTATGTGGCAATAAAGGAAAGCAAGCTATTTGTTTCTGTTTGCATGGTTATAATCTGCTTTGAGTTCTTCTACCTTCCAGTCGAGTGAAGGCTCCTTCACAAACACACCCATGGTGTTGAGCAGCAGGTCTGGGTCATCTCTGAAGGCACGTGATGAGTGTACCATCACACTCTGGATGAGACCAGACTCTGCCATGGGTCGCATCAAGTTTATAAACTGCCGTGTCAGCCTAAATGGCATCAGTTCAGGCACTGGGAGGAACTACATGCAACATGTAAGACAGGTTATTGTTCTTAACTCTTAATTAAATCAAGTCAAGCTGTTCATCAAACTTGTGTCTAAATTGGTACAGCAACTGTTTGTACCTGTACTTGTCACCTTACAGAATCATTGAACGGTCAGTCAAACAAACTACTGAATACCAGACAAAAAGCCCACCTGTGTGGCTGATCCAAAAGCATGACCGAAGTCGATGCCGATCATACCACCAGTCTCTGTGTTAATCATGAAGTTAGAGAGATGCCGATCACCAATGCCCAGAATCCAGTGACTGATGCAGAGCACAGCATGAGAGCTGCTGAAATGTGACCTTAGTGAAAGAAAAGCTTCAGGTGTGGTACTCATCCTCACAAAGCACGCCTGAAAACAAGCATTCATGCCATCATTAATTCCTTTTAGAATGAACAAACATCATCAATGAATTACTATATGATTATCATAAAATTAAAATACTGCGATGTATAATGCAAAGAGAAATGCTGGCATACTTTAACAAGTCATTAGGAACCATCTGCTCAATTCTCCTAAAGTTGTTCACAGTGCCACACATTTTGCTTTCCTGTAGGGAATCAAGTGTAAATGTATTAATAAGTATTAATATTATTTATACAGTACATGTTCTAAAGCCATTGTAGAATGCTGAGTCACTGACCCTTGACAAGTTATAAAACAAAGTGATAACTTGTACAGTTCAGCATATCGTCTAATGCTGTCCACCTTCCCAGCAACTTTACTGACCCAGTCATCATAGAACTCATTGGGCCTAAAATGCATTAAACCAAAGTAATGCTTGATGCACTCAATGCAAGGTATGAAAGCAGAAACTCTGCATGATGATTTGTTTTATTAGCTGGAATAAGGAATAAATATTCACTTTGTGATTGTCCTCTGCTCCTGTTCAGTCCTTCTGCTGGAGAGGAAGTCTTTCAGAGTGCAGGTGTTCTCCATCCACTCCATCAGGCCAATCCTGTAAACACCAGCATACATTAAAGACCCCAAAAGACCAGTTAAAGACAGGCCAGAACACAAGTTGAGTCATGAGAAGCCCATCCTAGTACCTGCCAGAGGCGGACAAAGTACTCAACTCCATTACTTAAGTGAAAGTACAGATACTGCTGGTCAAATATTACTCCATTACAAGTAAAAGTTGTAAAGAAATACAGAAGTACTTTTACTTAAGTAAAAGTACAGAAGTACCAAAAGTAAATTTCCTTATTTATGTCAATGCACTGTTTTATTGTTGTACGTAATACTTGCAATGCTTCTGATGCAACTTAGAATACATTACACCTACTAGCTTGTAGTATCTTTGTAATAAAGAGCTTTTAGAATGTTAAAAACCTATGGGGGAAAAAATTAACACCCCTACCCACCCCCACAAAAGCAGGATGGTAGTGATCTCACACAGCTCTGACAGTGTGCACACATCTATGTGTAGCCATTCAATCACATTTGAACAGAGTGGACAGTGAAATCCTGTAAATACTGAGTGATAAGAAAGAAAAAAAATCAATCCTGCTGTAAAACCCAGCAACACAACTGTAGCTGTATAACTTTACAACAGCAACACTGCTTTAACAAAAAAGCAAAACAGCAAGACCTATTTGACATCAAAAAAATGTTTTTTTTAAATGCTGTCTAATCACTCTAGTGGTACTTTGATATCACACACAGAATGGTCTGTGCAGTGCTGCTTGAAGTCCAACACCTATTGTGTTTTATTAGGAGATGCACAACAGTTCTTCTGTGGCTTTATAGGTAATATTTTCACCTACACAATTGAGCAAAATCAGACAATATTGTGTCTAATATATACCACAATATTAACTTATTATTGAATTGTTGTAAATAAATATCACGTTTGCAACTGGGCAGTGTTCAAAAAATGCTGGGAAATCACTTCATGTAGCCCCAAGAGTGATTACTGATAAACTGTCTGAAAAAAACAGTCACATTTTAGAGAAGAAAAAAATCACCCACTGACTTTCAAAGCTGCTACATAGTAACGACTTTCTACTTCGAGGACCTTGATAGAAATGTAGTGGAGTGAAAAGTATTTTGCTTTATTGTTATTACTGTGTTAATCCTGTGTTTATTACTGTGTTATTCCTGTGTTATTGCTGTATTATTACTGTTATTAATGTGTTATTCCTGTTTTATTACTGAGTTATTCCTGTGTTATAACTATGCTATTACTGAGTTATTCCTGTGTTATTAATGTGTTATTTCTGTGTTATTACGGTGTTATTAATGTGTTATTACTTTGTTATTCCTGTGTTATTACTGTGTTATTCCTGTGTTATTTCTGTTATTACTGTTATTAATGTGTTATTCCTGTGTTATTACAGAATTATTCCTGTGTTATAACTGTGTTATTACTGAGTTATTCCTGAGTTATTCCTGTGTTATTCCTGAGTTATTTCTGTTATTACTGTGCTATGTCTGTTGTCACTGAGTTATTCCTGTGTTATTTCTGTGCTATTAATGTGTTAGTTCTGTGTTATTCCTATGTTATTACTTTGTTATTCCTGTTATTGCTGTTGTCACTGTGTTATTAATGTTATTCCTGTGTAATTTCTATTATTACTGTGTTATTGCTGTGTTATTACTGTGTTATTAATGTGTTATTCCTGTGTTATTAACGGGTTATTCATGCATTGTTATTGAGTTATTTCTGTGTTATTACTGTGTAATTATTGTGTTATTCCTGTTTTATTACTGAATTATTCCTCTTATTTCTGTGTTATTACTGCGTTATTACTGCGTTATTACAGTTATTCCTGTTTTATTACTGAATTATTCCTGTGTTATTACTGTGTATTTCCTGTTATTTCTGCTATTACTGAGTTATTCCTGTGTTATAACTGCGTTATTACTGTGTTATTGCAGTGTTATTACTGTGTTATTAATGGGTTATTCCTGTGTTTATTACTGCGTTATTACTGTGTTATTGTGTTATTCCTGTGTTATTACTGTGTATGTCCTGTGTTATTTCTGTTAATACTGTGTTATTCCTGTTATTTCTGTGTTATTACTGCGTTATTACTGTGTTATTACTGTGTATGTCCTGTTTTATTACTGAATTATTCCTGTGTTATTACTGTGTATGTCCTGTGTTATTTCTGTTATTACTGTGTTAATCCTGTATTATTCCTGTGTTATTAATGCGTTATTACTATTTTATTACTGTGTTGTTACTGAATTATTTCTGTGTTATTACTGCGTTATTACGTTGTTATTACTGTTATTCCTGCATTGATACTGAGTTATTTCTGTGTTATTACTGCATTATTATTGTGTAATTATTGTGTTATTCCTGTTTTATTACCGAATTATTCCTGTGTTATTACTGTTATTACTATGTTATTCCTGTGTTATTACTGTGTATGTCCTGTGTTATTGCTGTGTTATTTCTGCTATTACTGAGTTATTCCTGTGTTATTCCTGTGTTAATCCTGTTTTTTTACTGAATTATTCCTGTGTTATTTCTGTGTTATTACTGTGTTTATCCTGAGTTATTACTGTTAATCTTGTATTATTCCTGTGTTATTAATGCGTTATTACTATGTTATTACTGTGTTATTACTGAATTATTTCTGAGTTATAACTGCGTTATTACTGTGTTATTGCAATGTTATTACAGTGTTATTAATGTGTTATTCCTGTGTTATTACTGAGCTATGCCTGTGTTCATTCCTGTGTTATTGCTGTGTTATTCCTGTGTTATTCCTGTGTTTATTACTTTGATATTGCTGTGTTATTGCTGTGTTATTACTGTGTTATTATTGTGTTATTCCTGTTTTATTACTGAATTATTCCTGTGTTATTACTGTGTTATTACTGAATTATTTCTGAGTTATAACTGCGTTATTACTGTGTTATTACTGAATTATTTCTGAGTTATAACTGCGTTATTACTGTGTTATTACTGAATTATTTCTGAGTTATAACTGCGTTATTACTGTGTTATTACTGAATTATTTCTGAGTTATAACTGCGTTATTACTGTGTTATTACTGAATTATTTCTGAGTTATAACTGCGTTATTACTGTGTTATTACTGAATTATTTCTGAGTTATAACTGCGTTATTACTGTGTTATTATTGTGTTATTCCTGTTTTATTACTGAATTATTCCTGTGTTATTTTTGTGTTATTCCTGTATTATTCCTGTGTTATTAATGTGTTATTCCTGTGTTATTAATGTGTTATTCCTGTGTTATTACTGAGTTATTCCTGTGTTATTTCTGTTATTACTGAGTTATTCCTGTGTTATTTCTGTGTTATTCCTGTATTACTGAATTATTCCTGTATTATTACTGTTATTACTGTGTTATTGCTGTGTTATTACTGTGTTATTAATATGTTATTCCTGTGTTATTAACGGGTTATTTCTGTATTGTTACTGAGTTATTTCTGTGTTATTACTGTGTAATTATTGTGTTATTCCTGTTTCATTACTGAATTATGCCTGTTATTTCTGTTATTACTGTTATTCCTGTGTTATTCCTGTTTTATTACTGAATTATTCCTGTGTTATTACTGAGTTATTCCTCTTATTTCTGTGTTATTACTGCGTTATTACTGTTGTTTCTGTTTTATTACTGAATTATTCCTGTGTTATTCCTGTGTATGTCCTGTGTAATTTCTGCTATTACTGAGTTATTCCTGTTATTCCTGTGTTATTAATGCGTTATTCCTGTGTTATTACTGAGTTATTCCTGTGTTATTCCTGTGTTATGCCTGTGTTATTCCTGTGTTCATTCCTGTGTTATTGCTGTGTTATTCCTGTGTTTATTACTTTGTTATTACTGTGTTATTAATGTGTTATTCCTGTGTTATTACTGAGTTATTCCTGTGTTATTCCTGTGTTATGCCTGTGTTATTCCTGTGTTCATTCCTGTGTTATTGCTGTGTTATTCCTGTGTTTATTACTTTGTTATTACTGTGTTATTACTGTGTTATTATTGTGTTATTCCTGTTTTATTACGGAATTATTCCTGTGTTATTACTGTGTATGTCCTGTGTAATTTCTGCTATTACTGAGTTATTCCTGTTATTCCTGTGTTATTAATGCGTTATTCCTGTGTTATTCCTGAGTTATTCCTGTGTTATTCCTGTGTTATGCCTGTGTTATTCCTGTGTTCATTCCTGTGTTATTGCTGTGTTATTCCTGTGTTTATTACTTTGTTATTACTGTGTTATTAATGTGTTATTCCTGTGTTATTACTGAGTTATTCCTGTGTTATTCCTGTGTTATGCCTGTGTTATTCCTGTGTTCATTCCTGTGTTATTGCTGTGTTATTCCTGTGTTTATTACTTTGTTATTCCTGTTATTACTGTGTTATTCCTGTTATTACTGTGTATATCCTGTGTAATTTCTGCTATTACTGAGTTATTCCTGTTATTCCTGTGTTATTAATGCGTTATTCCTGTGTTATTCCTGAGTTATTCCTGTGTTATGCCTGTGTTATTCCTGTGTTCATTCCTGTGTTATTGCTGTGTTATTCCTGTGTTTATTACTTTGTTATTCCTGTTATTACTGTGTTATTCCTGTTATTACT